TTCTAAACGTGTTTGATATGCTTGATTCTTTTTCAATATCAGCGGTCTCTGAGTCAAAAATACATTAGGCGTTTGCACTTTTGATGAAAAGATTAAAAAGTGCACACTGTTTTTTTTTACAAATTCAATTTTTATGATTTGCCTGAATAGGCCCTACATTGATTTTTTGTAATTTCTTTTGCAGTTTTTACTTGTATAATTGTTTAGTCCATGTCTGAGTTGATATTGTAAGGGAGGCAATTAAGAAATGTAATTTTTACCACTGCCGAAGCAGCTTCAGCCGACAATATACTCTTTATCATTGAGCGGATGCTGTGAATTATGAACCTTTAAACTTTTTTTTACCTCCGCCAAAACCTTAGAGCTACAAGCTAAAATGTCTCTTCCCACACCCGCCTCTCTACTGTTCCAGATTTACTGCCTAAAAAGGAAATCTGGCAAGAACTAAACTTGTTACAACTAAAAAATGTCTTGTTTTTCAGGTTTGGAAGCCAATCTTCATTTTCCTTATATAAAAACCTAGGACAAGCTTTTTTAAAGATACATTTGAGATGGTTTGTCTGTAACTTGAAAAGACTTTCACTGTACATTCCTATTCTCCAAATAAAGCGTGTGGCTGATAAGGGCCAAATTACATAAAATCTTCAAAAATCACGTGCTTTCTGAAACTTATGACTTTATCGTTTTATTTACAAATATAGCAGAGCAAATGACTAAACTGGGAATTATGCTTTTGCAAAACATTATGACGACAGTACAAACTAGCATCAATGTAGTAAATTGAGTTATCAAAAGTATCTGCAAATAACTGCCCTGAAAAATAACAGCAAATAGGTGTTATTTTCAGAACTTACAAACGAAAATGTCCTGTAAATGAACAGTTTCTGAAGGGGCAAATTTGGAGGCGATCCAAATGTATTCTGTACTTCAATCCTCCTTCACCATTTAGAGGCTGATATAAAACCTAAGTTCTAAAAATGTAGACCAAGATATCGTTTTTTAAAAATTTGACGCCATTGACAGAGACTTTATACTTCATTTAAGATGGCATAAAGGATTTTCTGAAGTACTTGTGCCTTCTTATGATAAAGCATAATGCAGCTTTGATGGTTTTCTTAGAATCATCCAGCTATTCTGTTTTTTTGTCGGCCTCACTTGCATGAGCGGCTGTCCCTAAAAATTTTTATATCATGCTGAGGGAAGATAAATTACAACAGTACAAGGATTTTAATAGGATGGAGAAGCCTGTACCACAAATGGCAGTTACAAAAAGAAGGAGGGTGACTTTTAAGGTTTACGGCATATATGAAATACGTTTTTTTTTTAAGTCTTACCCCAGAGCATCGAATTTACAATATCTCCAATGATATAAATTGAGCAGAAGAGTGCTGATGCTACCAATATAAAAGCTAGATGATAGGATTGAGTAAAAAATTCAAAAACCGGGTATAACCAATAGCCGTGGTACCATCGAACAAAATATAATCTGTAAAGTAACATTTTGAATAAATTTTGTTAAAGTTTTATGACGTTTTTAATAAACACTGTAATTTTACATCAACTTACAACGAGAAATAAAATGCTAGCAATGCTGCAGCTACAAGAAGACCAGTTTTTCTCTTTGGAGCTTGATGACATGTCAGAAGTGTATCAACGGAGATGAAAAATAATGGCGCTGTATGGGTGACATGGTTGAGAAATCGTGGGATTATCCGTTCTGCCCATGCTGGCATTACTAATCCAGGATCAATCAAATACAGGATCCAGAATAACAAGCATGTTGCCTAAAAATACTGAAAAAAGCGTTAAATAAAAAGCAAAAATCAAACACAATTTTTACTGCTCATCTTCACCAGTCGTTGCGCATTTTTATATGAGTATAAGAAAGACCACGTTTTGGTCTATACTTTCTGTAAATCCAATGTTTTTTCCTGCCTTAACATTGTAATTTTAGTGAATATCAGCAGTCAACAAACAAAAAAAAAAAAAAAAAAAAAAAATTTTTTTTTTT